ATACATTGAAATGAAAGAATGTGGTGGAGGATACTTCAAGCGATGAAAGCGACCCTTCTGAGGATGACCTTGCAAATGTGTTGTTTGGAGGATACAGCCTCGAGCTAGATATGGTGGAACACTTCGGATGTAGACAGCCAATGGGAAGACTCATGAGTCACTCGTAGTGGGCTGAAATATTCAGCTGGAAAGGGAACATGTATGGTCCCGCCATCTATGAGTTCGTTTCCACGCTAGTGTGCAATGAGCAGGTCGAGAACGATGACTGGAACTCCATCAGGTTCAGTCTATTTGGTGTGGAATACTATATCTCAGCGAACACATTAGCTAAATGTCTAGGTTTATGGGAACAAGAAGGAACTGACTTCCCCTCAGATGTAGAAGCTAGAGCATATCTGAACATGAATAATAACACAATTGAGATGCAAATGGTGGAAGACGCTTATGACCGACACTTGGCAAGAAGGGATCTCAAAATAGTGAGAATACTACTTAGTCATAACCTAGGAAAAACATACTCTGAAAGGAACAAAATAATAAGGGAAGAGCATTTCTATCTATAGAGTATGGAAATAGGTACCCTTGTTAATATGGGAAGAATTTGCAGGCGATGGTTGCAAGAACAGGTAAAACACCAAGCTGAGGTGATATTCGTAGGCGCTATTAGACCGACTATGTTGGGGAATGGAGATAGAGAAAGAGCTTCACGAAGGAGAAGAGTAATGTCGATCCTGGTTTCAGAAATTGCTATGACGGGCATTCGCCCGGTGCATCGGCGAGGGATAGAAGAAAGGACGATAGAACCTATGCAGATACCTCCAGTGGTAGTAGTTCAAGCACCCGTTACAGTCAGAGTCCTGGCTCCAAACTTGCCCACATTGCCTGCTAGATTTCCACCCGTGACTAATTGGGAGTCCATGAGAGCCTTTTAATACCAACTGCATCTGGAGACCATGTACATAATGATCAACACCTTCCGGGCCCGCACCGCACCAAATGGCAACCCACCATTGTTCCCCCGAAGAGGACAGGGACAGCACGCGCAGTCCCAATTGACTGTGACTCAAGAAAAGGCTTTCTCCCATCCCATCCCACTCTACCCTACCCCGTTCCACGTGATCCCATTATTCCTGAAACTTGTTCTCGGATACTTGATGGACATTAGGCACCCTACTCGTGGGTTGCCGCCTTTACTTTACTTTCTTTCATTTTAAATTCATGCACCTTTTAATGCTTGCATTTTAAATACCCATACTTTTAATTCAGTATAAATCATGGACTATTTTTGAAGTTTTACATAATTGCTTGAATTCCTCTTTATCTTGATATTGAGCTTATATGTGAGAATTGTGCCCAGATTGGTTGATTACAGGTAGAGTAAGGACGCCATGTCATTCTTACAAAAATTTTATCCCATGTGTTTACCTTCTGTCACTAACAGTTTGATTGCCTATTTGTGTTATCTATAGAGGAAAGGTTGGGGCAAAGAATTTGATGATGACAAATTGGGAAATCTCTTGAAAAAGGGGGTTAATTTCTCTATCTTTTTTTTTTTTACTCTTTGACCCCGGTTTGCAATTTTAAAGTGTGGAAAAAGCTTAGTGCATCAATTCCATTTTGGCTATATCATTTATCATGCATATAAAAGAAAAAAAATAAATAAGTAGTTTTAGTCCCATGAATTATTCCTAAAGTGTGGAAAGGGACACCCTTCAAATTGCTTAGCTCGTGTTGTTTCTTTTTCCACCCGGTGTTTAGGAGAACATCTCGAGTACGATGTTCGTTCTAAAGTATGGAAAGGACGCACGTTGTGCTTTAAAATTGAAAATTTTTTACTTTTATATGGTGCTTGATTGGAGATTGCGTGTGACTGGAAAAGTGTGCAATTGCTTATATTATTCTGGGAATGTGGTTTAATGGTGTATCATTTAGTTTAAATGTTGAATGTCTGGGGAATTGCCTCTTTACACCATAAGAGATTGCATAGAACCCAAATAGGTTTAATTTATCGCATGCTTGTTTGATATTCACCTTTTATTTCATCGGGACCATAGTTAAGGATCTCTCGAAGTGGGGTGTGTACATTCCAACCCAGAAATATAAGGTAGCAAGACCCGGAATTGAAACGAATCTTGGTAGGGCATGGGGCAAAAGGTGAGCCTTTGGTGAGCATTGAGAGTAAATCTCGAATCCCTAGAAAAATGCATGAGGGGTTAAAGTGAAGAAAGAAAGAAAAACGCAAAGATCGAAAAAAACTAGCCACTCCTTGAGATAAGAAACGAGGCGAGCCATCTCGCTGGGATTTGGGGCAAATCCATTGCACTGTCTTCGAAAAGCGTAGAGCTCTACGTGAAGTCGGTTGTCCCAACAACGTTATCCTAGGAGATGAGAAGAGAGAGAGGAGGGGAGCCACCTCGCTAGAAATCGGGCACCCATAGCACCGACCTTCGAAAAAGCATGGAGCTACATGTGAAGTCGGGTCGTCCGATAACGATTCTAGGGGGATGAGAAGAAAGAGTGACCGCTTAAGCCAATTGGCGGGGAGATGCCCATGCCACACCTTCACTTTAATTTATGTTGGGTCTTGGTGTATAAGGATGGAAAAGGAGTTGGTGTGCGCACATCGTTCCCACTAGTCGGATTGGCTCAATGCCCTTGCAAAATAGAAGGTGAATTCCCATTCTTGGAATGCATGCTTGGCGTTTGGTGTATAGAGTGCGTTGCCCGGATTATTTGATTTCCTATCTATTGATAGGGGCTTTATTTCCTCGAATATTCCATGAGTTGCTATATGTTGCATGATTACCACATTTGCTTGATAATATAAGGGATTCCATTCTTATTCCTTTTCTCCCACAACCATCTTGATTGACCGCATGATTGTTAAAGTTTTGTCTAGCCATCATTTGACGCTTATCTGTCCTTGGGATGAAAGATTTGCTTGAGGACAAGCAAAATTAAAGTGTGGAAACTTTTGATAAGTGTCAAAAGATACTAATTTTTAGGAGCATTATGAAGGTGATTTGTGTATGAATTAACCTTGATTGTGCATGATTTATGAGTAAATAGCAAAGAAATGTGATTGAGCACGATAAAACCTTCTAATTTGTACCTTTTAGTGTTTTCAATGATTTTTGGACGAAAAAATTGGAAATTGAGCTCAAAACGGATGAATTTGGAAGAGACGGGACGAAGACTCCATTCACGCCCGCCTCACGTGCGTGACTTGCCCGTGAATAGGTTCGGGAACATATTCACGCCCGTGTCACGCGAGTGACACCAAAGTGAAACAGTTCGGGAACGGATTCACGCCGGCGTCACGCGCGTGACAACGGCGTGAATGGGAGAGCGAATGAAAATTCTGGGCGCGACTTCAGATTTAAATACCTAGTTTGTGAGATATTTTGGGGGAGGTTGAACATTTTTAACTCAGATCAGATTTGTACTTTCTCTCTCTACAAAAATTAGCTCTCAAAACTCTCTTTATTGTAAGGAAGAGAAGGAGGATTCAAGCACAATTTGTAAGTCTTGCTTCATCTTCAACTTTGATTGCTTGTAATCTAGACTATTACAAGTTAGGTAATCTCTTGTGATTTAATTTCAATTGCTTGACCTAATTGTGATGCCTATCTTGTATATGTTGGGATTTCAATGCATCATGATGAGTAGCTAATTGATTAGCGTTAGGATTGTGTAGTAGATTGCAATTGTGATGATTAACATGTTTTGATTTGTCTTGTTGGAGTGATTGAATGATGTTGTCATAAATATCTTGTTGTGGAGGATGATTTGTATAGCTTCCTTGGAGTGGGGCCCAACTTCATGGATAGTCTTGGAGTCCTAGGTTTAGGCAAGAGATTGCTAAGCCTAGGTGCGCCTCTTGACCCGTCTACATTCCCCGCCCTAGATCGGAGAGGACGTGGCCCGGGAAGAAATGTAGGCAAGGTGTTTGCTTAATTGCCTCGTAGGAGATGTGGACACTCGGGTGTCATGTTTATCTACGAGAGGCGTAGAGACCTAAAATTAGCTATGCACTAGCAATCATTCCTCTTGAACTCGTGAAATCTCATTCAAACACTCCTAAACCTTAGTGTTAGCTAATCCACATTGCAATAGCCTCACAATCCTAAGCCGTCTTTTTCTCTTGATTTAATATTGTTTGTGCACACTTGCGACTTCCACACTCAATCGTATCATGCGCACTCTTGATCAAGACTTTCTGAGCTTGAAACTCTTGCCATAGCATACTCTCCAAACTTCCTAGTTATCACTCCTAGAGTACGACACTGGGGGGTTCACACTTCCGTTTTACACTCTATTCTTCTCCTACACTTATTGTGCACACTTACATCTTTGAAATGGAGGCAAGGCAAGACCGGGCACAAAAAGCAAGCTTTTCAAAAAAAATTATTATTTTTTTCTCAATTAAATGTATGTATGTTTATTGTAATTAATTAATTTTCATTATAATTATAAATTTAAAATATAATAAATAAAAAAATAATTAAAATATCTTAAAATAAAATTGTGAGTTTACAAAAACTTTTTTTAAAAATTAAAATTAGTGATTTTTTTTTAATTAAGTGAGATAAAGAATAATAAGGTAAATTTTAGAGCACACAAAAAAAATTAGAAGAAAGAACCTCACTGATGAGGATTCTCTAAAGTCAACTTGGTAGTGATAATGACATTAGTTAAGGTAAGGAAGGGCTTAAGAGCAACCTCCAATAGACAGTTTTCGTCTTGGTTTTTGTACTCTCCCGTGTTGGGTGCAAATGGTGCGCACAATGCCCAGGAGATGCAGTTTGTTCTTGTTTTTAGTTTTACTAGTGATTCCCAAAAAAAAAAAAAAAAAAAAAAAAAAAGAAGAAAGAAGCTTATATCAAGCTCCTCAACTTTCTTTCTCATCTCATCCCTTCACTTTTCTCTCCCTCATCATAGGCTCCTAAAAAAAAAAAAAAAATGATGGGTAGGCACAAGAAAAAGTAAGTTGCGGACAATTATGAAAAAGAAAGTTAAGTTAATTTGATGGTAGGTGGTACAGACACTACAGAGGAGTACAGGAACACCAGGAAGCTGTTGAAAAGTCCAAATTTCACCAGCTTTTAACCCCTAATAAACGATGAATCCATTAAAGAAGACAACTATTACAGCCAGATTGTCCATGGCCATGGGGCCATGCCACTGCAACTCACTTCACAACTGCCAAATTGGTATCAAATCAAACCGTCACTTTTTGGAGTGCTTAGAAGAAGACTTTTTAATGGGAATGCACTTCCCAGTAGTCCCACCACCTTTCCCTCTTCTCTTTCCTTCTTTCTCTGCGCCATCTCCCAGCCCTGCTTTGCAGCTCCTGCAACACCAGTACAGTGTTTAAGTCAACCAAACCTTGTCTCGATCGTGTCAGTTTTTAAGGATTAACTATTATTATAGATGTCTTTCTGTGTGCAATTATATTCTAGTACACTAGTACGTATGTAAAAGGTTACTGTTGATATGATATGTTGGGCGAAGGCTAGTAAAACCAAAATCTAGTACATAATGGTTGTGAATTGTTGGACAGAGATCAAGTTCAGCATCCAATTAAAATGTGTAACAGTATAAAAAAAATAAAATTAAGTCATTACTAATTATAGGGGTAAATATTAACGGACCACATATATATACGTACCGTTCTTCATTGTAAGAGTTGGATTTCTTGAGGCTGACGGGGTTGATTTCTGCCCGTTGTTCCGTCGTGATCGACTCCACGATGCTGCCGCTGAAGTACTCCTTTTCCTCGGACTGCATGTTCCCGAACCTTGGATTCTCCGACATGTATTTGATTTCTTCCTCGTCTTCCGTGGCCTTGGGCGGCGTTGCACGCGCGGCCGCGGCCGCCCTGATCAAGACCTCTTTTTGGAGGCTACTGCCACTGCAGCTCTTTCTGCCCACCGTCACGCTGGCGGCGGCTTGCTTCGTGAAGGGTGCTATAGTTTTCCCCCTGAAAGAGGCGGAGCCGCCGCAAGAAATGAGTTGGAAGAGCACCGAGTTTCGACTCAGCAACGAGGAGTCACCGTGTTCGAACCTCTTGGACGCGTTGTTGGCCTTTTCGGACAGTGATGAGGAAGTGGTTGACGGCGAAGAAGAGTCATCCCGGGTTAACTCGCCGCCGTTCTTATCCTCCACTCCGAGTACACGTAACTGATTCTCCGTAGCTGAGCAGTTAGAATAACTTGTTTTCTCTTCATATTCTTCTTCCTCATCCTCGTCTTCTTCACCGTAATTATTGTTCTGAACTTCTTCCGGTTCTGGGTATTGTTTCGCAGCCACCGGTTTGCGTTTGGGCAGAAAGTCTCCTCCGTCATGCGCATTCCTAACAAGCTGAAATTGCTGGGAATTGCTCACTTGTAGCATTTTAAATTTTTCTGTTCAAACAATCAATTAACTTATGACTTTCGAATTTATCATTTATGAATGAAAGTTTATGGACATATATATACCTCTCCTCGTACATTGCAAAAAAAAAAAAAAAAAAGAATCAAGAAATTATATGAACTGACCAGAAGAGCCTTGGACGAGTTCGGAGCCTTTGAGTATGTACTCTGAACCTTCACATGGGTAGATAACATCATTCTCTGCTAAGTCATTCCACACATATCCATTCTTGTAGCTCCTGCAGTGCAGCCAGTATATATATATATGGTAGCAAATTTTATACACTAAACTTGATGTATAATCTAATAATTCTAATACTAAGAAATATATATAAAAATTTATTACCGTTTGCAGGACCAAGAGTAGAGTGATGGCATCCCTTTCCCTCTCAAGGCTGTAAGTCGGTCCATCACATCTGAACAACATAAAATAACCATAAATACATTTGTTAGATTAAACCTTTACCATTATGTAACTCAAAACTATAACTAATAGTAAAAGTTTAACTATATTTTCTTATTCGGCCGCACTTTTTGGAGACAATGAGCGCTGAACTTAACCCTTTTTAAGTCCTTTACGGACCATCTCAACCCAATAATTCTAGCCAGGCCACCTAGTATTAAACATGGCCTTTAATTACCAGCATAGGTCCATGCCAACAACATTCCCCATTACACGCATGGCGAATGCATGCAACAGATAACATAAAAAACAGAGGAAAAAGGGAGATGGAGAAAAGGACCTTTGAGGAGAAGGTGGCGGTGGGCAAGATGAGTGACTTCCATGTAGTGAGGGTGCTCGAGGAGGCCATTTCTTGAGAGGTAATAGACAACCTGAACCTTTTTGAAAGTTGGTCGGCTGGAACAGAATACCCTGTTCTTATTACTAATGTTGTCCTGTGTTTTGGCTGCGTCCCGCATACTCTCTCCGCCGCATTTCGCCCTGCCATTGTCGCCGCACCCACGGCCGCCCACCTCCGTCATCTTCATCATCCTCTCTCTCTCTCTCTCTGCACCCCGCCCTTCAAACCTCAATCAACCGTATTTATTATTTCACTCGGGTATCTAGTTACTAGTTGTAATTAATTACCAACGTCACTACTGTGGAGTTGTTGACAGATCAGACAAGGAATATATATATATATATATATATATATATATATATATATATATAGAGAGAGAGAGAGAGAGAGAGAGAGAGAGAGAGAGAGAGGAAGAAAATTAAAAGGTCCTCGATGGATGAGAGAATACGCAGAATTCCCTGGCTAGTTTTGTCTTGGATCCTAGTCCTAGAGATATCGAGGGGGACTTTGGTGTAAGGTCACCATCACTTTTCTTTAAACTCAGCTCTCGCGACTTTAAGTTGCTTCCTGGTGACGCCCGTTTTTACCACCTTTTCTCAGATGGATAATAATTATTATTACAAGGCTCTGATGATGAAAGAAGGTGTGTTAAATTTTGGTGTGTACATAAAGATTAGCTGATTGTGTGAGTCCCAATTAGTGACTCTGGGATTCTGTGGACTAATTAGGTTAATTTGGGAAAGTTATGATCACTAAGTATTAAAAAATTTATTATTATTATTATTAGAGCAATAATATATTTTGTTAGGATTAAGTGTTGGACTTGACCCTTTACCATATTCATCTAACAATCCTTCCGTACCGGTTTTGATACCATTTGTTAGATCAAACACTTACCATTTACGCTAAAAATTATAGTTAGTAGCGAAATAGCAATTTTATTTCCTTACTTATAGATCGTCATAACATTTTCGAGAGGCTTTGGTGTTAGACTTGACTCTTTACCGACCTCTGTCCAATAATCGTCCAACTTACATAATCGTAGAGGAGGCATGTATCTGTCCATTGGCGTCTCTTTGGCGCTTGGGTTGTCGATGTAGGTGACCGTCCATCGCATTTTTTTTTAATTAATTATTTCAAACTAAATTTATGTATTTTTGTAATACGAAGGAAGAAAAATGTAACCAAGACTGTTGTATATTTAATAGCTAAGCCATACCCACATAATCGCCATACCTACATAATCAGCCATACATTAACATGTTTAGTTGGATGGAAAAAGTTTCTAAAGACAAAAAAAAAAACAATTTCCTTAAATTTGAGAAAATGAAAATTTCCTTCTTTTAGTTTAGGAAAATGTTTTCTTTAGTTTTAAGGAAAAAGTTTTCCTTGGAGAAAGTGATATTTTGTTTTACATAGAAATTGGAAAAAAAAGTATCACATGGTTGAATAATTTTGTCTAGCTTATTACTTTTATTATTATTAACATTGACATTTTAGTCTTTATACTTATTATTCATTACCATTCTAACTCCAACTAAACAACCGAATTAATATTCTAAATAATTTCTTTTCCACCAACCAAACAATAGAATCAGTTGCTTAGTAATTTTTTTCTATGAAATTTTAATTATATTTCCCCTCAAATATTTTTTTAATTTTGCAAAATAAACAGGGCCTAAAAGGTAGTGAATACTATAAAAAGCATGAAAACTCAGCAGTAAATTTTCAAAACTTCTTGTTATCCAATTGACACATAAGTTCGTAGCTTTATGAACATGTGACTAGTGTTACATATCTAATCTTTAGAGATCAGTTTTCTAATAACTTGAAGGATATAGAGGTGTGGATACCTATCACGGTGTCGCCCCTTCTTCCAGCATCCATCCAATAATTACATGAAAAGTATTCTCTTCTCTAGCTACCCACCTATATACTCCGTATTACTTTTATTTAATGAATCATTAATTATCCAACCCTTTTACTTAAAGGATCATTCATGAATTTAGGATGGCACACTGTTCAATACACTCTTTTTATATATAAAAAAGAAAAAAAAAGAAAAAAAAAAAGAAGAAGATATTAGTACAAATTTTGCTATAAGAATATGCATATATTAGAAGTACAAATTGAGTAGTAATTTTAATTGTTTTAAAGAAAACTTACTGGGCTATAAGAATCTAGGATATAGCTAGGGTGTTGTGTATTTTGTTTCATTCACTCACATTTAATTATGAGGTGTTTGGTAGAATTGAATTGTAATTTCTTTCCTACCAAACTCTATGAAATTATAATTTCATGATTTGGTTAGAGAGAATTGTAATTTTTAAGGTCCCCTTTAATTGTAATTTCATGATAAAGGACTATTTTACCCTTATTTTTATTATTATATTATTATTATACAAGGACATTTTAGTTTTTATTCACTTCTTTCCTTTCAATCATCATCATTATACTCATGTCTACCAAACAATATAATTTAAATTCTCACTTTATTCTATTCTCACCAAATTACAATTCTTTTTTCCTTAATTCCCTTATCCCAACCAAACGCCCTGTAAAGATCGGTTGTCGACTACTCTCTTCGTCTGCAATTGAAAATATTTGTATTTTGCTCTTGAATACGCAAGCAGGGCTGGCCCTGAGGGGTGGGCAAGATGGGCACTCGCCCTGGGCGCAACGTTGGGAGGGGCCCCATAGCTTGATTTTTTATTTTTTGATGAAGTTAAAAAAAAATACTTGCATATGCAAAGATTTGAGAAAATTTCAATTTTGGTCCACTGACTATTGCACTTGTGTTAATTGCAACACCCGACTTTCAAAAATATTAATTTAGTACTTTGACTATGCAATTTCTATCAATTTTGGTCACGCCGGCCAAATTGCCGGCGAATTATGACCGGAAAATGTGAAGTCAACATTTGGACTGAATTAGAAGGGGCAAACTTGTCTTTTCTTGTTCCTTCCTATATGGGACATTGACTTGTTGACCAAAACGACGTCGGCCCAGCGGTGTTCTTGAACACCAGATTCTCGAGCCCCATTTCCGGTGCGTTTTCCCCGGCGTCTTCCATGAGGCAGAGCTTGTTGGACATCAGCATTTTAACCCCCTCTTCTTCCCCATCCCTCCATATTCCCTCTAAAACGCAATTCACACAACCGGAACACACACATAATTCATTTCTCGATCCTCGATTCGGTATTCGTATATGGTTTCCGTTTATCCGAACCTTCCATCGTCTCCATAGTTGTTCTACTACTTCGCCGGGGATCCGACGAAAACCGGTCTTCCTGCCCTGCATTCCAATCAGCCGATGATGGTTATGAATACATCGGCTGTACCGGCGAGCGAGAATTCCAATAGCGTCTGTGTTGGTTTGGCTAACATAATTCTAAGCCTCTGCGTGTAGGCTAAGTTCGCCACTTGCGACGGCGGCGACGGGATTGTGGTTGTTGACCTCGGAGTTCTGTGCAGGTGGTCATCGTGTTTTGGACGGGAGCTTGGAGGAGGCGACAATGGTGATGATGATGCGCGTGGACGTTTGGTAAGCTTCGCCGTTGGGTGGAAGTCGGAAATATCGGAGAGTGAGTATCTGGGTTTGCAAGTTTAATAACTTCGGACAATATGGACTTAGCATAATCATCATCACTTCCATTTTCTATTGGATTTTCTCTGTCCTCTGTAAACTTTTGTAGCAGTAGCAGGTGCTCACAAACTTCTCCCCGCTTCTTATCTTCCCATTTCATTTTGAGTTTTTCCCACCTTGTGCACTTCCTATTACATGTATCTGTATCTAATGTCATGGCCGGAGATCAGAAATGGATATATGGTGGGTGACATGATATGATGCTTTCCACATGATTCTTCGCTCTGCAAGGCTCCAGCGATGGAATTTCCGGCGGCTCTATGGGGTTGAGAAGACGCGGAGCTTTGGTTAGAAGGGAAGGTGGAACTCATCTGAGAAGTAAATGAATATTTTTGTATTTAGTCAGTCTTGCTGTATGGAGGTTCGTGACCATACAGTTCTTGCTGATTTAATGAAGTCACTCTTGAAGCCTGGATATGAGTTTGTCTCTATTATATGTACATCTACTTTAAGAGTGTTGTGCTCTCCGTGAAGGCGCAGGCCGTGAAGAGGTAAACGAAGGAGGTCAGAGAAGAGAAGGAAGCGCAAAGGAGGTTTGAATAACATGAAATTACGCTTTTGCCCTTTTTATTTAATGATTTAAGATTTTCCGGTCATAATTCGCCGGCAATTTGGCCGGCGTGACCAAAATTGATAGAAATTGCATAGTCAAAGTACTAAATTAATATTTTTGAAAGTCAAATGTTGCAATTAACACAAGTGCAATAGTCAGTGGACCAAAATTGAAATTTTCTCGCAAAGATTTGAATCCATGACTACAAAATTATTTATTAATTTTAAATCTACTTAATAATTACAACCATTTGGTATACTTATCTTTGTTGATAGAGATATATATTAGTGAATGTTGAATTAATTTATAATTACACTTCATTAGGGGCCCAAAGTTTGAATGGGCACTACACCAAGGTTATTCTAAAATGTTTTTTTAATAAAAAATTATATGTTTACAGAAATTCAAAATTATCATTTAATTATTTTCAATTAACTCATACAATCTTTTAACTTCATATATTACCATTATTATTGTGTGGACCATACTAGCTCTCAAATAATGTATAGTACATTCAGTAAACAAATAATATATTTTTAATATATTAAAAATGTACATTGTATTCAGGAAAAATACATTATTTGAGTAGTCAAAGTATATATTGTTTTGTATAATATATATTCAGTACACGAATCATGTATTTTTAGTATATTAAAAATGTATTTTTTTATTATGTTTCACACAATAATTTATCCATATAATAAGGGTCCATATTTTTATTCTGTCTCGAGTCTATAAATTAATAGGACCGACCCTGTACTACAGTACTATGTTACTGTACTAATTCATCAACCTACAATTTTAAAGCCGCAGTATTCAATTGTAAGTTTGTAATGTTTTCACTTTTCTTCCTCACATTTTTATTTTTCTTGATTTCATTGTGTGCGGTGAACTCAATTGTTACGAGAATTATATTTCACTATTTGATCACTCTTATCGAGGCTAGTATTACTGGAAATTTTTGTTCAAGTTGCAATTGGTTGTTGTCAACAGTGGAACATGGGGACCAATTTGTCCCTTTATGCCATTTTTTTTTTTTTTTTTTTGGATTTCTAGAGGAATATTTGATTTAAGTATTATGTTGTGTATATATGGGTCCAAGCTTGTAGAAGAAAATGGCATCTCACTGTTACGTTGATACCCCCAACTAGTTGCCTTGCAATCCATTGATAGTCGTGTATCTTAAATACTATACGCGGAGTAATTAAGATTGCCAAAATGGAGATGAATTCAATTTGTTATATTTCGTTGAAGACGAGGTAGAGGGATTGAGAAGTTTGGATTTGAAAATTAATTACAAAATTACCTCTCAACGGGGCAATGCAAATTACAATGTTTGGTTGGAGGGAATTACAAATCCACAAGATTACAATTTTTTCCTTTTGTTAAATTGCAATTCATGGGGTACCCCATGAATTGCAATTTAACGCTTGTAAGAAAGAGAAAAAGTGAAGAATTGATAATAATACCCTTAGTTGTTATTATTATTATTATTATTATTATTATTATTATTATTATTATTGTTACACAATGACATTTTAGTATTTTATACCACTTCTTTCTTTCTCATTCTCAGTAATTTTATTTCATCCTATCAATCAATGTAATTTGAATTCTTACTTTATTTCCACCGAATTACAATTCCTTTCCTCCTTAATTCCTTCCTCCAACCAAACACCATGTTAATCTTCAATGGATGGAATTTTTATCATAGGATAGAATGTGAGGCACTTGTAAAGATGTGGGACGAAATGTGATTAAATAAATTGAAAAATAAAATTATATAACAATGTAAGTTTCAATGTAATTATATGGTAATTGTTGGTTCTACGGCTTAGGGTAGTCGGATGACGGGCCTACATTATTGTAAAATTATTAAGTAAAAGTTGAGTGAGAAATTTGACAAAATAATAGGGCTTGTCTTGAAATCTGAACCCTTTATAATGTGACCCCAGATGTATTTATATTTTATACAAGAGATTTAGGTCTTGAAAAAGGAAAGAAAGAATAAATTAATAAAATTGAACTTAAGAAAGTTTTTATAGAGCTGGGTAAGCTTCCTAATATTGAAAAAGAAATTCCCGTGCCCAAAATCAGAAAGAATTTCTGCAAAATCTCCGTTCACCGCCTCTGACCATGGCACCTAGTCGAGACATATCCGACTACCTAGTTTGATCGCTTCAAAGACTTGGAGTGGCCGACTGACGAGCTAGACAGGTGGTGGGCGGGAGCAAGGCTATTGTGGCTCTCTCCATCCTTAGTAATTGAACCGTAGTCTCCTGACCGCCTAAGGGCACACTTGACTGGGTACCCTACTCGGGGTATCCATCAGTAATAATATATTTAATTCCTACATTAACATCAATGGAGTGGTGATTTCAATCTCTGATCTCCTTCAACGTTTCTGTTAAAATTTATTGTTAGAGTGAATTCTATTTTTTGTCCTACTGTTAAAATGGTCTTTCCAATTTTAGTCCACCATAATTAATTTTGCCACATTGCAACCATTGTTATTAAAAGTGTTTCAATTTTAGTCGACGTTAGGATTTTCGTCAATTGACCGTGTATTTCAAGGGTATTTTCATCTTTCATTGTTTTTGTCTCTTCTCCTTAACCTTCTTTCTTCACATCCAAGACCATGTTTGACTAAGGAAATCAAAAAATTAAACCTAAAACCTAAAAGCAATGCGAATCAGACCTAAAACCTATAAGCACCGCGCCAATTTCTTGTTGGTGGGAACCGCTACTACGACGACAACGAGTACATCGACGAAATCGAGAACCTCACCCAGGTGTTGATGGACGGCCGACGAGTCTCCGGAGAACAGAGGACTCTGCCATGGCGAGGGAGGGTGGTGTTTGTCTCGGTTGGTTGTGAGCCTGTTCGTCAACCGCCTAAGATATTCGTTGACCATATAATATTTCTTCTGCCGCCGTCCAAAAGCTGCAAATTCCCATCATACCCGAGTGTGAAAACGGCTTCAGAATCTTGACACAACGGAGGTTCTATGTTAGCGACCTAGATCACAGTTTTGTTGATGGAAGAATCCTAACGCGAAGTTCCCGCCGACGGAGACTAAGGTCCGGTTTCCGAGTAACTGACTCGCTCCAATTTAGGATTTTCTCTCGGATTTCAACCCCAATTTGGGGTTTTCTCACCCAATCGTTGGCAATGGAATCACTCTACCCCCAGGCTGTTCGCAACGACGGAGAGGAGAGGAATTTCGGTGGCAAGGAGAGGAATTGACAATGGAATCGCTCTCGCGGAGGTTGCGTCTTTATCATTAACCTTCGAATTGACGGGGAGGAGAGGAATTCCGGCGGCGGTGTTCGTGGATGATGTTCAGACGTATCTCACCGATTCCGCGGTGTTCGTGGTCTTGTGAGTACAATCAGAATCTGCTTCCAATAATTCTTGGGTTTGAATCTTCAATGAATTTTGTGAGTTTTGTGGGATTGAGCTTTAATTTCAGTATTTTCTGATCAATTACTATGTTTTGTGAGTTTTGTGGGATTAGGCGGAAATGACGGTGCCGTTCTCCATGGCATCCGTGTTCTCGAAGAAGAACCAATTGGAGAAGAAGTGGTCAGTGGTCAAGGGGGTTGTTAATCGGGGTTAGCGAGGTCGTCGATAAGGGGTTTGTTGAGCGAAACAGCGTCGTAGTGACTGGTATATGAATGCGGCTGGTGGGAGTGGAAGAAGTTGAGTCGGGTATAGAGAAGGGAGACGGAGAAGAGGAGGAGAATGACAGCAGCCACGACACAGAGTGTTTTGTGAGTGTTGTGGGATTGGGCGGAAACGACGGCGACGACTGGGTGCCCATGAGATTGGACTGCCGAAACTTTGAAAATGGAATTTTGTTTAGATCAGATCGTATTGATGGAGGGAAACTCGGCATGCGTTTTATCTTTTTTTTTTAACTAGAAAGAAAAAAATGCCCCTGGATTACACAACCAACTGACGAAATATTAACAGTGGACTAAATGTGGAATACTTATAATAACAGTGGTCGCAATATGACAAGATTAATTATGGTGGACTAAAATTGAAAACGTCCGTATAACAGTAGGACCAAAAATGTAATTCACTCTTATTGTTATTTATTAAAAATTCTGACCATAAGTAAGTCACAAGATATTAGAGCAAATTACACTTTTGGTCCTGTGACTATTTGGGGTGTGTTAATTTGGGTACGTGACTTTTAAAATTAACAATTTAGTCATTTGACTATCATTTTTTTAGCAGATTTGGTCCTCCCGGCCAAATTGTCGGTGGAATTCGGCCCGAAAAATGTTCGAATTAATAAATCATATAATAGTGGGGGTAATTCCGTCTTTTTAAGTGGAAAAAAATTAGCGCGAAAAGCACACGTACTCTGTTGGAAGTCGAACAACAAATAGCTAAGCCTTATTTCTAAAATCTTCAACCCTAATTTCTAAAATCCTCAACATACGAGCAACTGAGTGTGAAGTCGAAGAAGGGAATCTGTATCTACGACTGGATTGAGGGGTAGTTCGTCTTCTGCGACTGGATTCGACTTCTCAATGCGTAAAACGTCTGCCACTGGAATGGGGTCTGGCCCAATGACGCTACAACTAAGTAAAAATTAATTTGTTTAACAGTTAAAATTGTACGAATTTTATGAAGTTTATGACGAATTACTTTATTGTGGAGTAGAGCATATCTAGGGTTTGTCGTGTTGTATATATTACATAAAGCATAATATAATTTGTACTTGTGTCTTGAAATTTTGGGACCAAAATCTGAATTTTTGTGTTGTTCTTATGTGTTCTGTGGGTGGGGACCAAACTCTGGACTTTTGTGTTATTCGATTGTGTTTTGTGGGTGGGGACCATTATGTTTATAGTTTTGTGAATATGTCATGTGTATATACTGTGATTATGAAACTTTTCCATATGAATTTATTATTCTGTGTTTTGTGGGAACCACTATTATGACTGTTGCATGTGTGAATGGTGGCTTTACAGGAGCAGGAGTTGGCCCTTTTTCAGTTTTCATTTTCCATAATGGGATAATAAATAAGGTTGGTGAAGTTAAATATATGGGTGGTGATGTAGAAGTGTATGAAAGAATGGAAGCTAATGAAGTCTGTTTAGATGTGTTGAAGGATAGGATAAAACACTTAGGGTATAGTGAGGTAGGAACAATACTTTATTGTTGGTGGAATGAAAGATTGAAGTTGATACAAACAGACAATGATCTAATATCCATATTGAATGAAGTCAACCCAGGTAACATGTTGGAGTTTTGGGTTGAAACAATGGATGAGTTGGACTTGATTGATGCTGATATGGTAGCAATTGAGGCAGACAGTGATTGGGAAAATGAGATTGAGGTAGACTGTTTGGGGGTAGATCAGCAGGATGTTGTAGAGTTTGGGGATGGATTAAATGCAGAACAGAAAAAGGAGGATGGGGATGGCTTAAAAGGGGATGATGGTGATGGCTTAAAAAAGGAGAATAAAGTACATTCTGTAGCTGAAAAAAAGAAGTTGAAAAACAATTGGGATGAAATAAACTTTTCTGATGAGGACTCAATTGTGGATTCTGATAGTGATGGGGAAGGTAAATGACCCATATTTAGAGCTGCAACAGACATGAAAGACCTCCATTTCACTTTAGGCATGACTTTTGCTTCCAAACAACAGTTTAGAGAAGCAGTTCAAAATTATGCTTTCATAAATGGCAAAGAAATTAGAACACTTAAAAATGACAAGGAAAGGGTCATTGTTAAGTGTACACAGGAGGGTTGCCCTTGGAGAATAGGCTTGAGGAAAGTAATAGGCTCACTGTCATGGAGAATTTTGAACATGATAGATGAACATGAAGGGTGTTCTTGGGTTTGAGAGAATTCTATGGTCAAATCTTCTATGGTTGCTAAGAGGTGGTCTACTCAATTAAAAGACCACCCAGATTGGATGATGAGAAAGTTCAAGGATAAGGTGTGCAGTCAAGAAGGATTTTATGTGAGTGATTCCCAAGCCTATAGGGCTATTTGGAAGGCAAAGAAGCTAAGAGAAGGTGAAGAGGAAGATAACTTCAAAAACATTTGGAGGTACTATGAAGAAATTTGTAAGACAAATCCTAGGTCAAGATGTATTATCAAGACCAGTGACCTGCTAGATGGGAGTGGACAAGAAAGATTTTTGAGAATATATGTTTGCTGGGATAGTAGCAAGCAAGGCTTCAAGAACTGTAGAAAACTGATAGGGGTAGATGGCTGTCACCTTAGAGGTGCAACAGGTGGGATGCTACTGACTACTGTGACTGTAGATGCAAATGATAGTATATTTCCACTAGCTTATGCTGTTGTGGAAGGAGAGAAAAGAGAGTCCTGGACTTGGTTTCCAATGCTTCTGAAAGATGATATGGAGATAAGCCCCACTGTGGAAGATGAATACTGTTTCATAAGTGACAAACAAAAGGGATTAATTCAAGCCTTTGGGGAGGTGCTACCTAGTGTGGAGCACAGGTTTTGTATGAGACATTTGCATGCAAATATGAAGGTGGCAGGTTTCCAAGGAAAGGCAATTAAGGATGCTCTATGGGCTTGTGCTAGGGCAACCACTGTAAACAAATTCAATGATGCTTTAAGAACATTAAGGAGATTAGATGAAGATGCATACCAATGGTTAGGTGATAAGAGCCTAAAATAATGGTCTAGATCCCACTTCTCTACAAGATGCAAGTCTGACATGTTGGTAAATAACATTTGTGAGTCTTGGAATTCATCTATATTGGAGGCAGGGGACAATCCAATCATTGACTGCTTAGAGTGGATAAGGAGGATGATCATGGGTAAATTGTTTGAGAACAAACAGAAAGCAACTGAATGGAAGACTTTGATATCTCCTAACATTGTCAACAAGTTAAAGGTGATTGAGAAGGATGCAGCAGGTTACCAGGCCACACAATGTGATTTCTTCAAGTTTGAGGTTCAACAACTATATGGGGATCGACAACAAGTTGACTTGGAAAGACAACAATGTTCTTGTAGGAGGTGGGAGCTGAGTGGCATTCCATGCAAGCACGCAATCTGTGCTATTTAGAAAAAATATGGAAAGGGTGGAGTGTTGGACTATGTGCATCCATGTTATTCGAAAGAGACCTATCTGAAGATATATAGTGGATGTATCAACCCCATGGCAGGTGCTGCTGAGTGGCCTATGTGTGACAGAACCCCTCCATTGCCACCTTTGTATTCTGCAAAGGTAAGTATTTATCTCCTAGTCATCATTTGCCAGCATTATCTTTTGTATGTGTAGTGTATGAACTTTTTGGTGCTATGCAGGTTGGGAGGCCAAAGAAACTAAGAAAGAAATCAGCTGATGAGTTGACCCATGATGGAAAGACAGTGTCTAGAAACCATATTCAACTACATTGTACTTATGTAGGTTGGCTGGACATAATGCTAGAAAGTGTCCATCTAATCCAAATAAAAAGGTATAATCTGCTATACTTTTGCATTAGAATAGTAATGAGAAGTATTTATAATTTATCCATGTTTTTTTTCCAGATAAAGCCAAAGAAGAGGGTCATTTATGCCACTCACCAAATCAGGACAGCAGCAGCACCACAATCAGGTTAGCAGAGTGGAGTAGGGCAGCAGCAGCATGGACACTAACCTACTGGATTAGAACATCAACACCAGCCTGAAGAAAGGGAACACACTCAGCAAGAAGAGGTGAACCAGAATGCACAGGATGGAGACCAAAATGAGGCAATCCAACAGGAAAAAACCATATTATACAAGGAGCAAGACAGTGATGAAGTCCAAGTTCTTTGGCAACAAGGATGAGCCAATAGACATTGAATGACTGCAAGTTAAATTCGATTGGTTTTTGGAAAGTTTTTTGACTGTTGCATGTAATGCTGTAGATTGGATTGGCAAAAATGGTAGTATGTTTGACTGTTGCATGTAATGCTGCTGAATGTTTGCAACTTGAACTTAGTTTGTAGGTTTTGGTAATATGGCCATTTTTTGTTAGAATAGCAGCAGCTAATGGTGAAGTATTTGTAATGGTGAATACCAAAACTCACTTTTTGTCAATGGTAAAGCAGTCTACATTATAATGGTGAATACCAAAACTTGCTGAATTGTGATAAATACCATAATTCTTACATTGCCATACCCTCATTCTTACATTATCAAAAGATACAATAATTCTAACATTGCAATACCATCATTGTTAAATTATCAAAAGATATAATAATTCTTACATTGCCAAAATATACCATCATTCTTACATGAATCATAACCTACATTACCAACCACACTGGCCAATGCCATTACACATACAGACCATAAATAGGATCAGTTCCCTAAAACCTACAACTAACAAAGACTACAAATATTACAATGAACACTACTACAACCTTGTTCATCCACCTACAACCAACACACACTTTGCCATCGTCTTTATCACCTTTAAGCTTCATATTTAATCTGCGTATCTCATCATCTTGTCGGTTGATGCGTTTTAGCAATCCCGGAATAATTTTCTTTGAACGATAGCATATTGGAGGATCATACCAATCAATAAATCCACATCCCACCTTCCTCTGAATTAATTAAAAAAAAAATCATCAATTACCTTCGAACACCCCTTCAAAAATTAACAGAAAAATTTTAACAAAAAATGGAGAGAAAAAAATAGAAACTTACAATACCACCGGAGCATTGCCAAAATCTACGACTTGGATTTTCATTTGTCCATGAAGTTCGAATTTTCAGTTGCTCACCACATCTGCAATGGATAATTGGAAACCTTTCCCCAAATTCATAGTACTCACTACCATCATTAGAAGAACAAGAGGTAGAGCTGTCAAAACGGGCCAGCTCGGCCCATATGGGCTGGCCCGTCTCGGGTTCAACTGGAAACGGGACGGGACGGGCCGACCCGTTTTTCCACGGGTTGGGGTTTTCCTAACCCAACCCATGTAGGACGGGCTGGCGGGCTAAACGAGCCAGCCCGTCAACCCGTTTTTTTTTACATTATTAAAATATTTATTGTTGTATAGGTTAAGAATTGAACCCATAACCTCTAAGTTAATAGTCAAGACTATTTCTAATCAACTACATTAACCACGATAAACAAATATGTATATTTATATATATATATATACAAATATGTATATACACATATAACATATACACATATAAAATTAGATTTTAGTTTTTAATATGTAATTATAATTTATTTAATTTATATTTAATACTAATATATTTTACATGTAATATTTTTTATTTTGTAATTATAATATTATTAAGTTATAAAGTTTATAAAATATATAATTTATTACTTTATGTAATTTATATAATAAATAAACTTTAAATTAAAATTTATATAAAGATACAATTAATTGTATTAATTAATACTTGTAATAAATGTAATATAAATTAATTATCAATTATATATTTAATAATGCTTGTGAATGATGTAAATAGATATATAATTATATTAAAATGTTCAACATCGTTCTTAGCATAGTTGGTTTCAATATTAATAATAACTTGATAACTTAAGTAAAAGGTCAAGGGTTCAAGTCTTGTTAGCAACAATGTTTTTAAATATTAATAAAGTACCCAATTATACAACACATTTGGGGGTGGGATGGGTGGGGATACGGGTTATACGGGCCGGCCCGTGTAACCCACGGGCCAACCCGTATCTCCCACGGGTTACACGGGACGGGCTGGAAATCCTCCAACCCAGCCCGTGTAAAATACGGGTTAAACGGGTCGAACCTGACGGGTTGGGCCCGTTTTGACAGCTCTAACAAGAGGAATAGGAATTAGCCATACCCAGAACGAGTAGATGGAGAATGATGCGTGCCACTGCTTTCTTCTCTTCGTACTGGGTTCGTATCCTTCGTGTCCCCTTCTCACCAAATCTGCAATTAGGGTTCTTCTCTCTTCGCATATCACCAAATTCGCATAATATATAATTTGCAGCTAATTTTTTTTCCACTTAAAAAGACGGAATTACCCCCACTATTATATGATTTATTAATTCGAACATCTTTCCGGCCGAATTCCACCGGCAATTTGGCCGGGAGGACCAAATCTGCTAAAAAAATGATAGTCAAAGGACTAAATTGTTAGTTTTAAAAGTCACGTACGCAAATTAACACACCTCCAATAGTCACAGGACCAAAAGTGTAATTTGCTCCAAGATATTAAAAATTCTAATTGATTAGAGCTTGTAATAATGTAATTTCACATCTTTTTTTTTTTTTTTTTTTTTTTTTTAAAAAGAAAATCTCCCAAAGAAAAATAAGAGGTGTAATCTTGCGTACAAAATGCTAAATTCTCTTGCTTTTGGACCTTCACATCCCAACTCGATATGATAGTGGATGACAAATCACGATAACTCAGCGACCCATTAAGTAAGAGGACTAGTGTCTGGTGACAACAAGAACCTCTCATATTGGGTGTAACTCTCACATTACGACGGCTAGCGACTAAATCTTGTGACATTGCCCATAATCTGTCATTAAAAACCACATTGACATACATGCATAAGGTTATCCTTATCTCTTCAATACTTTTCCACTTTTAAAAGTTTATCCTACTTCAATAATAATAATAATAATAATAATAATAATAATAATAATAATAATAACAACAATAATAACAATAATAAGAATAATAACAATAATAATAATAATAATAATAACAATAACAATAATAACAATAACAATAATAACAATAATAACAATAATGATAATGATAATGATAATGATAATGATAATGATAATGATAATAATAATAATAATAATAATAATAATAATAATAATAATAATAATAATAATAATAATAATAGGGGTAATCAACGATTTAGTCCCTCGGTTATTAGCGAACTGTCAATGTAGTCCCTCAATTGCTTATTCATCGATTTGGTCCTCGAAAATAATTGCTTTTAGTCGATTTAGTCCCTCCGACCGTATTCCGTCAATAATCCCGCGAGAGCTCCGATTTACCATGGATAATTTAGTATTTTCACGCCATCTTCTTCATTAAATTTGACCAAGCTTCGCCGGAGAAGCTTAAGCTCGCGGAGGGAGCTCCATCTCTTCTGCTCGTCTAAAAGAGCTCACCCCCAGAAAAAAAGAGTCAATCTGAGCCGAAAAAAGGGAGCTCCATCTTGAGGTTGATGGAAAACCCACACGTGCACAACACAGAAGCCATGATAAGCTCAAACTGGCATGTATATTGAATTTTTTTTCTTCTATATTTTCTGGCTTCTTGAAGCAATTGGTTGGAACTCAAACCCAGTTAAGGTACATATCTCTCTCTACCTACGCTCTCTCTAACAATAAACTAACATACCAAATGTACATCGAATCATAAATCTATACAACGTTACACATATCCCCTCCCTCATGTCTTCACTTTCAAAGGCTTCTCAAAAGTAATGGCCATGCCATATCCAACCACAAAAGAAAGGTGGCCATTTCTTGAATATCTGCCAGGCCCAGATTAAGAAAGGAGAGATGATGCAGCAGCAACAACATTTTCAGTAGACTCGGCAATCCTTGCTGCCTCAGCTATTCTTAGCGCCATCATAGCTTTGTACGTTGCTAGATCGGCATTTTCCATGAGCTGCTGCGCTTTCTGACGCTTGATAATGGCTAAACCCTTTTGTATATTCGCAGCAGCTTTAGCTTCTTTCACCTTGAGAATGGCGCTCTGCTGCTGCTGCTGAGCATCTTGTTCGGCTGCCAAGGTTGTAAAAGGAATTTTATTTGAGATTACAAACAAGGGTATTCAAAGAAAATCCTAGAACCAACGTGCAAAACCCGAGGTTATTCTGCTTTCACTAAGAAGCTAATGAGACCAATACCTAGTCCAATCATTTACCAAGAAACGAAAAACATGGCTGCGTCTTTTTGTTGGAAGAGATGATCATGAAATGAATTGGAGAACTCCGGCGGCTGCAAAGTCACCTGCCTTGACCTCAAAGCCTCCAGCACCGATCCTCATATCTAAACATGGTTTCTCTCTCATTTTATCCTCACCCAACTTCCCCATCATTCTCTGCAAACA